AATTTCCACAGAACTGTACTGTTACAAATTGCTTGTTTGCGTCTTTGTTTTTGCTGGTTAGGGAGTAATCTTTCCTGACTGAAAAACTAGCGTTGTTCCAGCCCATGAGAACATTTCAACCTGATCCAGGATAGTTGCCTTGAAGGAATAAAAAGCCAGTGAGGAAAAGGTATGATGTGGCCACATAATGATATAATGGCTAGGAAAACTGTGGCATTTGAAAATTCCTGGTCATTTCAATGGTCAGATGAATGAGACGGAGCCAGCTCCCCAAAACTGAAGTCCTCCTGGTAAGTTTATGGGTCCTGAAAATAAAGTTACATTTCCTTTTTATTAACAAAAAAGGAGAAAAAGTAAGAACCAGTGCCTTGATCCTGGAGATCCAGTAAAAAGAAAACCCAAAACAACATACACACACCCCCAAAAACCCCCCATGAATTTGAGACCTCTTTTGTCTCTTAGCAAATGGGTTTGTATGAAATTGGCAGCCTCCTAATACTTTGTCAGCCAGATTGGCAACATCAGACTATCTGCATGCCCTTGAGGCTGGAATAGTACCGTACTGTAATGTGATGCTCTAACAAAAGCACCTAATTGTGAAGAACAATCCATTTGCATCAAGATAAGCAGCTAGTAATGTTTCCCTCTCACAGCCACTTACAGACACTGACTTTGGCTACAGATTACTGCCTAGTGCTGTTTTCAGCCTTTCCCACTCTTTATTGGACCTTAACAAAGCTAATGTTGTACTCATTACTCTAACCTGTTTTCTGGTTAGCGTGAGTGACTAACAAAATTATGTCTTGGTCTGTGATTCATCTTGAATAAAGTATTTTCCAGTCACACAGCAAAAGCCTTGCTGAAAGTGGAAAGATTTGATCTTTAGCACTGAAGCCTTTGCTTGTGTGCTCCTAAAACTCAAGCTTTTTGTACCATGTTATTTGTTAGTATCAAACATACCATCAGTGGCCAAAGTTGCTTCTGCTGTCAGGGCATGTCTACAGGCATAATGAACTTGCCAATAACCGAAAGCCTGCTATGCACAGGAAATTAAACATACAGAAATTAAACACACTGTGGGAAGCACGTGGTGTGTGGGATTCCCACGTGGTTTTTTGGCACAACTGAAAATCTGAAGATGATGGGGAAAATCAAAGGGATTAAAGACCCCAAATCCTTCAAACAGAACACAAGTACCTATCCAATCACCACAGGGCTCCAATCTCATATGGCAACTCCTTACCCCAAAATGAAGAGGAACGTGGCATACAAGACAGGCTTTGTGAAGCAAATAACTAGTCAGGGGTACCTGTGGAAGGCCAGTGGTGTTAGAGATTAACAAATTGGATGAGTTTCTGAACTGCTGAGTCTGGCATAGAAATGGAAGTAAAAGATATGATATGCAAAGAAGGAAGATGTGATATTGTTTGACAAACATGCAGGGTTCATGTTTGTAGCTGCAGAAAAAAGAAGAGACATTTTGAGAAAATCTGGTACAGGAGGAGGATATTGGAATTTGGGAGATTCAAACTAGAATGAACATCGGAGACTTTTGGCTTTAGTAAACCTGACAACCCCAATGGTGACGGTTCAAGATACTGCAAAGACAACATAGGCTACCTCCTCGGCATTCGTATCCTAGGGGCTTGGTTCCTGGAAGCATAGAAGAGCCCGGTTGTTGCTGTGCTGTGCTGGAGACGTGCAGAACAGGAATCAGCACACAGGGGGCTGGAGCTGCACAACCCTTGACTGACCCCTTGCAACACATGTTGATTGCCGTTCAGATATGATGACTGCAGATCAGATGTTCGTTTGACACTGAGTTCCAAAAGTGGGGGAAAGGAGGATGAAAAATTAAATCACTGTTTGGCAGAATTATATTTGCATTTGAATTAAGACCTGTGTGCAAGGCAGAAAACCCTATTCATCTCTCGCTGCCCTCCATGAGGGCCAGTTTCCAAGTTTGGAGCAGCAATACAGGGAGGTTTCTCTTTACATCTTCCTGTAAACAGCGTGTAGACCCCAAAAGCAGGGCCAGGGAGGGCCAGCGCTGTCCTGGCATGTTATGCATTGCCTAAGACCAGATGGAATAAATTAGGATTGCTCTGTTTGTCATATACGCTAATCCACATATGCAGAGCCAGACTCCAGGCTTAACTGGCTTGCTTCTCTGCAAACACCTTCTTTTAGTTCCTTACAGTGGTGGATAAAAGGTATTTACTGGTATCTCATGTCCAACAGTCTGTAATTCGTGTCTCTACAGTGCTTTAATGTAACAGTGATGTCTATTTTAACACAGTGCTGGGGCCTCTCCTGTCGTGGTTCTCCTCATTTTTTTCATCATATGTTTAGGATGTTTCCCTGCATCTCCCTTTCTTTTTGGTCAATCAAATGAATTAATATTTGTTCCAGATGTTCCAGGACTTACTTTCCAGTATCATGTCCTGGGAGCTATCAATACGTTTTAAATATGGAAATTACAAAAGCGTTAGGGGAAGGAAAGCAAATTATACCAACATTTGCTTTAGAAAGTAATACTTCCCTCTGACTAGCCTCAGGCCCAATGCATTTATTCAGGATTTAATTTACTGTATCTATTTAATAATTTTAAAAGGAGATTGCAAAAAGTATAATAAAACTCTAAGGAATATAGATATAATGAAATAGATACATCTATATCTAAAAATATAGATGTGCAGTTTAAACAAAGAATGTTTACCCTGTTTTGTGCTTTTGATACACATTTGCCATCTCGCCTTACATTTGCACTAGAAGATGTGATTTTTCACAGCACATTGTAGTCAGAGCACTTGTTAATGTTGTGTTATAGAATGACAACACTGGTAGATGGCATGGAGCCTGGCGAGACAGTGCTGTCCCCTGACTGAGGACTGTGCCCAGCCTGCTGCTCTCTACCAGGAGTGGCTGGATGCCCCTGGGACAGGATCATCCACTTCTCCCTTCCAAGTGAGGAGAGAGGTGGCAAGGTGTTAGCATCCCTCCAGTCAGTGCCAGCAAGGAGGGCCAAGCTGGGACCATGCAGGGACTGCCATAGGTCCTGCCTGGCTCCCTCCCCTCTGCCCCCTGCCCATGCTCTTTGCTGCCTCGGCTGTAGTACAAAGGCACAGTAAGGGGCTTTTCAGGAAAAGAGATTAAAAAATTTATGTGGAAAAATACCAGCTGTGGCGGGGTTGTGCATGTGATGAGGGGAAAGGAGAAGAAATAAATGAAAAGACTATGTTTTGAAGTTTTTCAACCCAATCTAAGCTTTTGGGTTTGCTGAACTGACCCAGAGCAAATCCCTCAGGGCCTGCTGGGTCCAAGACCGTGGTACTGTACCAAATGCACAGCACTGCTTCGTGGCAGTGAGCGCTTGGGCCTCACTTGCCATTGCCGTTGCGGGCTCTGTGCCCTGCTCTGGCAGAGCTGTGCCTGGCTGGGGGGACAGCAGGCACCTCACTGCTGCTCAGAGATGGCACAGCACCCTCCAGGAATATGGTTTGTGGTGGTATGACTCAGAATGAATGGCTTGGGGCCCCGTTAGCAAACTCAAATAAAACTTCAAATTTGGAACTGCCAAAGTTTTTTTCTTGGGTTAAGATGTCAAAGCAGATTGTTGCCACACTTCCACATCTCTACTTTTTCATGTCCCCTCAAAGAGAGAAAGAATCTTCTTATCTCAGTTTGGAGGAAAGTAAATGTTATACAATCCTAGTTTTATTTCAGGGTAGGAATATGGATTTATTTTTCATTTAATTGTTTATTCAGTAGTCCCTATAAAATAAACCTCATCTCCGCAGTATGAAAAGGGATTTTATGCCAAGACAACCCCAATTACAATTTAGGATGTCTTGTTAATGTAAACATGCTTAATTAAAAGAATGAAGCAGGTTTTGCTGAAGACTTTGTCCTACTCCAGCATGGAGCATTCCTGAAGAACATCTTTAGATAGAAAGGTAACCTCCAGTCAACACAAAGTTCCTCGAAGTGCCCAGCGCAGTCCCTGCAGGTGGCTGACCACTTGCAGGTCCAGTTCACAAGGATGGGAATGAAGGACCCTCTCACACCCCAGAAATTGGGTGCTTGTGAAAAAAAATTCAAGTGATCTCTAGTTGTTTGAAACTGGACCCAGATTTTCAAAAGAGCTCTGGTACTACCTAGGTGCCAGAAGATGTGCATGAATTTTCAGGAGGACTCAGCAGAATGCCTTTTGGATAGAAACAAAAATTCAAAAATGGAAGTAAAGCTCTCTTCAAAATCTGACCTCTCTGTCTTCTAATGCTTCCCATATGACTCTGTGTTCCCTCACTGGAGGAGGCAAACAAAACAGAAATGGGGTTCTTCATGACGACAACAGATCTTTCTTCTTCTCCTGCTTGTCTTGACTGTCTTCAGGTTGATTACTTTCTCACTCTGTGGAGTTGCTTGGTCATGACTTCAAGTGGCCTTATGAACATTTACAAAGTGTCCAACCTAAGGACTCACATGTTGAAGGTTTAGTAGCTTTCTATCAGCTTGTTTTGTCCTGGCAGCCCATTTGTGCCATAGCTTAATAGCTTGGATGCCTTCTGGCTGACTTTTCTCTCTTTCTTTCAAGCATGTGTTTTGAACTTCAAACTGTGTCCTGGTCTTGTAGGGAAGAAAAGATTTTTTTTTTATATTTTGCCATATTTAACAGCAACAAGGGTTTCTGAGGATTAGACATACAGGAAAGGAAATTAAGGGTTAAATCTAAGGCAGTAGTTATTAGGAAAGGTCAGAAGTTCTGGTTCTCCCAACAGCTGAGCAAAACCACAAGTGTTAGGAGGAGACCAGCTCTGAGGTCTGATGCCGTCTTTCTGTCTTACCCACTGACAACCCTCAACACAAGTTGTATCATATTTTCAGCCATCATGGAGAGCAATCCTTTTTCACTCCCTCCCCCCCCCCTTTTATGTTTGTTTGTTTTTTCTTTTAGTATATGATATCAAAGTTTAGCCAATACTTGCTATGGTGTAGGTATCCACGATCAATAACGACAAACATGATGATGAGAAAATGAGAGGCTGTCCTTCCATATCCAAGAGCAAGTAACTGCCTAGAAGCACACGAGGCTACTGGTGGGTCAGCTGGTGGGTATCATGGCTGCCAGGACCGATATGCAGTGTAGTCTCGTGTTGGTGCATAGGATGGGTAACCCTTGTTCTTCTGGTATGGTGGATGCCGGGGAGTCATGTTCATGTAGTCACTCTGATGGTACATATTCTTCTTGGATTTTTGCTGTGGGAGAAGGGTGAAGAGAACTGTGAAAACATTTCTGCAATTAGTCTGTCTCGCCCAGCATGAACATTCAAAAGGGGAGAAGAAAGGGAACAGGATCCTTTGAGCAGAGGGGTTTTGATTGTTAATAAGACCTGAGACAAGTTAATAATGGATTTTATTAATTTTTCCTTCTTTGAATTAACAAATTGTCTCACCCAACATTCATATGAACTGCTGACAGTTCTGGCCCTAGGTCCTGGTTCAGAGAAGCAGGCATATTTATAAGGCAGCCTCAGGATTAAATACATTTACAGAAGAATTAGAACACATGTTCTCATAAAATAAACTATGGAATTTGCCCAACCTGAACTTAAGTCTCCAGCTTATCTGCTGAGAGATTTATAGTGTTAGTTCTTCAGGTAAAGGAATGCTGCAAACCAAGGATACAAACTGGTGCCTCTCACCATCAATTCTCGGCTGTGGAATGACTCAGCAGAAGCAATGCAGTCTGAGCAGTCAAGGCTGTCCTCATTTATTAGGAGGAAAAAAGAAATTAGCTTAACTCAAACAAAATAAGAGCAGGAAAAATCAGCCCAGGCTATGTGTATCATAGTTTGCCTACCATTTACAGCAGTAACACACAATGTATATGTTGTTCTGACCTTACCTTCAAGGGGCAAAAGAATTAGAGCTGATGTTAGTCTTTTATCTGTCTCACTATCTAGGCCTCAAAAATTTCATTTCCACTTGAATTCCTGCCTTATAATGTCCCTGTGAGACAAGGTAGGCATCATCTCTTTCAGAAATAAGAGTAGCAGAAGACAGGTGAAATAATTTTACTATGATCACAGAGAAAGTTTGTGGCTATAGCAGCATTTGAACCTCCGGCTGCTGCAGGCTGTGCACAAGATTGGTGGTTTTGCATAGGTTAAGGATTTATTGATCAGGGGCTAGGTAAAGTGCTTCCATGCTTTTTTCCTTAATACTGATCATACCTTCTTTTGCCATCTTCTTTTTACTGAATTTTCCTTCCTATGTACATAAATATTTGCGTATGCTGCAATATACTTGTGATGCTCTGGAATTGGAGGAGGTTTGCATTAGAAAATCTGATGGCTAAATTACGCTGTACATGCAGAGTGGGGTAGTTACTGTGAAACATTTTCAGCTTTCTTATATTAATGTTATATATATGCAAGGTGTGGAACATAAGTTACATGCTGCTTAAGCCATGCAATGCAGTTGATGCATGTAAATCATTTGATACAAAAGCTTTACATATATGTGTTCATCTCCATAATATAGGATTTTTAATTCACCTGAGAGGTAATTTTGCATGGGAGAAAGACATTTTGCTAGCATGAGTGGTTGCTGGACTGTTACAGGATCAAAGACTGCTACTTTTGGAGAGGAAAGCAGTTTTTCTCCAGGGAAGGCAGAACTGTATGAAAATAGACAAATCTTTAGCTGCTTTCAGGAACTCAAGTGAAACAGGCTTGCCATGGCTGTGAAGTATCATATTTTAGGACCTTTTTTTATAATTCATAATGTCATCTAGGCTGCTGTATTTACCTTCAGCAACACTCTAAATACATTCACACTCAGAGTATATATTATCAAGAGAATACCACCAGCAGCGATAACAGCAGGTAAAACCTGATGCAGCAAACAGCACACGTCGCAATGCAGCCTTGTCACTCTTGCTGGGGGCAGACATGTTAGTAGCAAAGTGTGTAGCCATTAGGTACGAAATGAATATAGCAGGGAGAAAATGGTTCCAATTGTAAATGATGGATTTGAAGCTACAGTATCTCATCAGGGCACAGTCACTCTCGCACAGCACTGTAACACCAGCAGCTGTTTGCTGTAATCCCTTCAGCCCTCCTAGGAGTCAGCCCCTACAACAAGGCACAGAGAAGGACCACTTAACCTGCCTTTGCATTTTCCTATGGCAATTCCCCATTTGATTGTTTTCCATTAGAAATAGCCATATATTGAGCAAGTGTATTTTTGTGAAACACTTAACAGATCTCAAGCTTCAGCTAGCAGTGAGAGTGCCTTTCTGTATACATGCAACCTTTAATCTGTCAGGGACTCTGAGCCCTTTATACAGGCTACCTCATAAGGTGTTGAAAATCATTATTTAACGACAGAGATACAGAGGAACAACAGAATGCAAGGAAGAGAGCTCTCTACGGTCATTGTTCAAGTCTTTCCCACGCAGAGTAAGTCATTTAAATCAGCTCTGGAAGATCACAGTTCTGAGAATTTTCTAGGAAGATGTCCTTCTGCTGCCTCTGTATCATGCCTCACTCTCTCTTTGCTCCAACAGGGAGAACTGGATGTGACCTGGGCCAGACAACTCTCCAGAGAGATTAGAAAGCAAAAATAATGACCCATAAGACTGTCTTAGCTTTCTTAGGGTTAAGGTACAGAGGCAGATGAGGGACTGCTGAGATCCCGGTGCTCCTATTCGCTTGCAGTCAAGCTGCCAGAAATACTGGGTACTCAAGGGAATTGCTGGATAGGTGCAAGACATCAGTGCAAATGGTCTTGGGCCAACTGAGGGTTCCCTAAAGATTGTTTTACTGTAGGTGAGCTCCTTCTGTCAGTATAGCCTCAAAGGGTTTTGCCAGGAATGATTGTAGTGCTGGATTTCCCTGACAGGGATAATTGATGGAGGTAGAGACAGAGTCCCAGTATTGCTGGTGTGCAGGGCACTGCCAAGACTATGGCATTACTATTTGCTTTAGGGCTCTTCTGCAGAGGCCTGACTGCCCGCCTGGGGAGTATCTGGTGTTTCACCTCTTACGGGGCATAGCATGGGTGTGCATATATACATGGGGTGAAGAAGGACTGTGATCCTGAAGTGAGGGGTATCAGTGAGTTTGTGATAAACATGGCAAGTATAGCCTGAGAAATGAACTAGGGACAAAAAGCATATAGAGCAAAGGAAAATAGTCGTTTCTTACCCAGTAGTTAATAAAAACTGCGGTTATTAGCATACTGTAGAAAGCAAGAACTCCAGTCACTGCTACCATAATCCACAAAGGAATTGCAGACTGAGGCTCTTGTGTTTGGATGGGTGTCTCTTTAAGGAAAAGAACAAAGAAAACTTTAAGTACATGAAAGCAAAAACCTCAATCTCTGCTTGTTTACTCCTTGCCCCAATGCACCATTTGTATTCATCATCGTTTTAAGACGTCTTCTTCAGGACATCAGGAGCAGGAATGTAGTTTTACCAAGCAACCCAACTTTTTTTTTTTTTTTTTATGAAACAAACTGCCTCAAGCCATCACGTAGGGAGTGTGTGTAGGGAGGATACTGGCCTACAGTGATTTCCCAGCTTACCTTTCACGTGAATGACAGTCCCGTTGCTCTTCTCATTGTAGACATACGGGGGTGGATACATGGCCTCAATTTTGCAGAAGTAGATGTCAGTTTGGCTGGCACTCATATTCCAAAGATTGAAGATGACTTTGTCTTTATCATGAATCCCCTGGCAATTGAATTCTTTATTTGAATTACTGCTAATTTTGGTCGTATTCCACGAAATAAAGCAAACTTCAACCGCACTGTCTGTTCCTTTGTGCAGTGAAGCTCGAAATTCCTTCCCTGTTCCATTGTATGTGTAGTTACAGACTAGAGTTGCAGTTTTGTTAGCTACAATGAGCAAAGGACGCTGAGCCACTAAAATCTTGTTTTCTGGAAGAGAGGGGAGGGGAGAAAGTGAGAAAAACACTTGTTTATAAAATACATTATGAAACTTCAGAACCACACATCCTTCTGTGCAACTCTTCTCCATTTCTCCTCCCCTGCTGACACTCCCTACCTACTAGGGAGTATGTAACCACTGAGCTGCAGAAGCAGTTTCTTGCAGGAGCTCTTGTTGCAGCAGTCCCCATCTATATAAATAATTACTTAGTCACTAGGGGAGACTGTGAAGTCCAGAGTGTTTTTCTTCAGAGTCAGAACACTGGTACAGAAATTGGCCCATGTGATTAAGATTTAACATCAGGGCTCAGAATGCTACTCTGTGTGTGTTTGCCTGTGTATATATACAAGGCCACCTTAGTCTATCCTTACCTTAGCAAGCGGTTTCCCAGGGGACATTATGGAGTGAAAATACTGTGAATTAAATGCTTAGTTTAGCAGTCAGATAAGATAATATTATTTATATATTTGCTTTTTAATCCAAGGACAGACTTGAAGAGTTTGCAGATGGAATTTGCTGAACCATTTCAAGGGTTTGGACCTTGCACAATGAGCACTAAAAGCATGAACTGCTATCATTTTAATGTAAAATAAGTCATTTATCTAGCTAGCAGCTGTAGTAGATTCCTAATCTCTCAGAGGACTCAGGAGCTGACTAATCTGACACTGCATTAGCACTTAGCACTTGAATGGCCTGCAAAAATACATGTCACATGAAGGTATAACTCAATTTGAATTGACTGGACTGACACATAAACAGGAAATGTTTTCTGGCATGTCGACCTCTGTGCTACCATCTGCCAGACAATGAAACACTACAAGGACTATGCAGAAAGAAAACTTCTTCCAAGAAAAATCATCCTGTACAAATGAGGCCCTACTTTTTAAATGATGACCCGTAAGTAAGAGGAAGGGAATTTGGGCTTTTAAGCTAGGAACTTGGCAGAACTAAGGACAGCCTTTTTGTGGGTGTATATGACTGTCTAAGTCTTCATGCAAGCTCAATTCTTATGAGGTCTTAGCAGCCTTTTATAGATCCTTGAGAACTGCTGTGCTTGTGAGAATGACAATTGCATCTCTTGTCCTCAAAATCTGCTGCAAAACCTATATTCTTTCTACTGAATTCACGTGACGAGACTTAAAAAAGGCTGGTAAGGGAAATGGAGTGGGAAGGAAGCCAGATCTAGAATGCCCAGAAAATAAGTATTTCACCATGTTTAACAATATTTAGACCAAATGGCTACATTTAGTGTGTTCACACCTGCACAAGAAGATGGAGTACCCCAACCTGTTGAGCAGGATACGCTGTTGGGATGAACATGATCCAGGGAGTAAAGTAAACACAAAGAGTTGCATGAGATGGCCAGGACTAGTGGTGGGATGTGGGCAGTAGAAACAACCCACGGCTAGCAGTTTCTCCAGTTACCAGCCCAACCCAGGAAACTGCTGAAATTGTTCATTTTCTCACTGAAAGCCTTGTTTACCAGCACTTTCTTCTCCTGAGAGCAGTAAGACGTGAGACAGGGAATACTCTACTGCCTCATCTTTAGCAAAGAAAGATTGCAGTCCATCCTCCCTGTGTCTCTTTGTTCAACATAGTTACGATGGGGGATGGAGCAGAATTCATCACAGTGCTGAAATCCCATGTTTGCAGGGAACCCAAACACTGTGAAACTTTTTGTTTTGATGAAGGATGAGCGTTTCCAGGCTTTCCAGCAGAAAGAGACATGGATCTTGGAATCCTGGAACTGAGCAGCAGATTAATAACAGACAAGGCGGGTTTCTACTGACGTGCTGCCTGTGGTGAATTTTCATCGAAATGAAGACATTTCAGCAAAACATTTCAGTTTCATCGAATCAGCATTTTCCGACAAAAGCTCTCACATAGGCTTATAAGGCATTCTAGTAAGGGGTGAGGTTTGGATTCCACCCCTCTAGACAAGGTATTTGATCATATTTTTGTTGGCCGGAAAATTGGTCTTTGGCCTAAGTGGCAATGTGCAAGTCTGCAGTAGAATTGTTCTGCCTTCAGCACAGCAGAATTCTACGCATCTTACTTCAGACAGAGTTATTCTTCTGATTTGCACTGCAGTAGCGCCCACCACTACAATGCTGATTATCACAGGGACTGAATACACCTTCAGAAGAGACCTTTTCTGTCTCAGGGTTTACAGTCAAAATAGGCATGCCGGAAAAGACACTTGCAGAAGCATCACACTTCAGAAAAATGCTTGCCTGTTTTTCACCGCAAGTACTTACAGAAAATTAATGGATGTTTATTGCTCAGACCGATCGCATTTTTGCGATGGCCAGAGGAAAGAAAACACTGAAAATCTCATCACTGAGGGACCACCTTCAAATGTTATTTAGACCCACCTGCAGACCCCAATGACTTACCCCCACCTTTTGCTGCTCACAGCTAATCTGCATTCCTGATGTTTAGTACATAGCTTCATGCCTTGAGCTCCACGATTTAACTACAACTTTGAACTATTTATGTCCCTGCCATGATAATGTGCTAATTGGTATCCTGTCTCTTTTGATATACCCACCTAAAAAACCCAAGTTCCTTCAACTTATTTCCACCTCTTGGACTTATGGTCAGGTCTGTTTGCCTTGGTATGCAGGCTCCGTGTTGATAACCCAGCCCCATGCTGCTGATGTTGGAATGCAGGGTGGCTGAGCAGTGGGAAAGAGTTTATTTGTGGATCATTAAACGAAGACTGCTCTTACATGATTTAAGCTAAGCACCAAACCTGTTTTCACCAAGTGGCTCTACTACTTCAAATCTAAATTGATTGAGGGAGATATTTTGTTTTTCATTTATAGGAACTAATTAGCACCATGTGAACTGGTTGGGCTGCAATGCCAGCAGGGGCAGGGCAGGCTTACCCCACAGGCCTGTTAGGCCCTGCTGTCATCCTCCTCCTCCGGGCTTGGATTTTTTTTTAACTGAAGAAAGTCAATCATGCCAAAATGTGTATTAGTTTCATAGGGAAAACAAAATAAGGCCAACCATCCCTTACTTCACTTGTGATCTGAATAGGATTTGATCATATTCTTAGTAGGATCTGGACCATTCTAAGCAAACATGGGCTAAGGCTGCTTTTGTCTTCACAGAGATAGTTTTTCTTGTAAGTGTTGCATTGGGTTTGTTAAAATGGTGAAACTCTGAAACATTTAGTATGTGTTTCCATTAGTGTATGCTTTCCCCTAAATAGGGTTACGATTGCCATTTCCAGAGCTGTGTTCAGTCATGCTGCGTAGTAATAAATATCTATATCTTGGCCTTACCCAGACAAGAAAATGGCAGTTATGAAAAATCATTGTCTACAGTTTCAAAAGCTGTGAACTCTAAAAAACATAAAATCATTTAAGTCAGTGTGCACAGGCTGCAAGCTTTCTCAGGATCTTAGGATTTACATGCAATGGTGTATAAGATTTCTAAATGTTTGTTAAGCTTTTTTATACCTTATTTGTCATGCTAGACATTTGTTATAATCACTTGTGGGGTTTTTTGCATCATGAAAAAAAAATGCCATCCATATATAATATCCGTAAAATACTGACTGTCTAATTACGGACCCCTGAAGCAAGCAAAACTTCATTGAAGTTTTTTTTCTTTCTTTCTTATTTGCCAAGAAAGTGAAATAGAGATGACAAAGTACGGAAAATAACTACTTTGAGGGTTTTTTTCCCAGAACTTTCCATGAATCATCATCAACTATTGGAAAAAATATTTTGCTAAAAATATTTTGTATTCTCCTGTCTTTCTTTTCCATGCCAGTTGACTACAAGGAGCTATTTGCCAGACCAAGGAATCTGGGATAAGTTGGGATTTCTATAAGCACAGTAAAGAAATGGCCCACTTAAGTCCCTGAGGGTATAGGGAAAAACCTGAAAGGAGTTTATTTCGTCCACAAACAGAAAGACACACAGCTATGTTATAAACAAAGCTATTGCATTTTTTTCTGCTGCTGGTTTGTTGTTCAATTACCTTTACTCTTCTTTCCCAGGTACAAGGGTCTTTCTCTTTTACTTTGGTTTTTGGTCACCCAGCTGTGTATATATTGTGCAGCTGGAGGGATCTGCGCCTTCTAGCCGTTATAGGCTTGCTTTCTGTTAATCTTTTCTACTTCAGTGTGAGTACTACAGGAAGCATAGTACTACATAAAGCCCAGGTGACACTCTTGCTTTAATCAAACTCAGTGTGAGCACAAGGGTTTTTCTTGTCAGTTTGTGATTATTTTTTTTTAAAAACAAGAATTTTTTGATGTCATCCTAATCTCGGCTAACCTTGCCTCATACAACTTCTGCGTTCTGGTAACCTGAGTGGGTTAGAGGTTGATTTTACTACCCAGAGACCATAAGCCACAAGGTTATGTCAGTAGTAAAAAGATGAGGTTATTCATGGTACGCTGCAGGGGGAACCCACTTATATTACTTATTTCACAAAATGCACGGGACAGGCAACTTGATCTAGCAGCCTCTCTGACAGACCATAGCAAGGTAATTATTTAGCCAACAAAAAGGGGGGGAAGGACAAACTTTGTAAATGTTAGTGTTCCTGCAAAAGGGAAATTAACAAACCGACCTTTTAAGTCCCATTCCATGATTCAAACTGAACCTGCAGCACTCACTGGTACATTCTAACAACAGCAGAATGGGACAAATTCTGTTGTCTTCCCCAAAACAAAATACCTGAGGCCTATAATACACTTTGTGGCTTGAGGAAGTCCTGCAGGGTTTTGACCTTCCTTACTGTTTTCCATGTACTGAGGATCAATTGTCTCAATCAAAATGAAGAGAAGAGGTGGAGAAAAGATATGGGAAAAAGATGAGAGCCCTGAGAATCAAGTGACTTCATGTGCTTCTCTTTAAGCAGTTGAACAGTCTCAGTGAAGCTATTGGAGAAACTGAAGTTCCTCATGCAAAACAAGTGTATAAATGTCTATAGAGTCATGGTGTAACCCCTGTGTCTGAAAACCACACACTATATTTTATTTTGTTGCAATTCAAAAGAGTTGCTTCACACCTCATGGAAATGTTTTTAAAACTGTTAACCCACTGCTGATACTTATCCCCTCCTGGAATCAGTGTCTTCTCTGACAACCCAGGGGCCCACTGTGGAAATAATTATGATATTGCAAACACAGAGTTATAAACATGGGAAAGGAACAAGGAAGAAAAAGCCTATGATCTCTTAAAGAAATGTAGATCGTGATGTCATGCAAATTACAATGCCTTCACTGAGGAAAAGAATTATAGGAAAATAAGGCAGAAATAAGGAAAAAATAGATTCAATTGTATCTCTTGTATTAGAAAAAGCAACTCTTTAAGGATGTTCTACATGTGAAAAGTTTTGTACTGGAAAACAGATTTTTGTTCCTATCTGTAACTTTCCTGCAAAATACAAAACACTGATATTTGGAGAAGACCCAACAACAGCAGTTCGCAGGCCAGCGGTTTGAAAAATTGTCTGTCTCAGGATTATCCTAGCAAAAGCCATCATCCCTTGCCTTGCTTTGCATTTTGATGTGCCTCTTGGAAAGATGTGTCAACTCTGAAGATACAAACACTGCATCAGCAAGACAACACCAAGACAAAATACCCTCCAACAAGACAAAATACGGTCCGCCACAACAGCTGAAGATTCAGAAAGATTCACTAAGACTCAGGATTTCAAAATCACAAATAGACATTTTTTGTGGTTGAAGATCTTTTCAGAAAGAAGCTAGGTATCTAATACATATCAATAAACTACTAAACAACGCAAAAATCAGAAACTTGGCAATTCCCATCCTCCCATCTTTGAGCTCAGTAAGCAACTCTGCTTTTGGTACTTTTATTTGCTAGTTCCGTGAGGATGTGGGTGGGCTCAGCTCTGCAGCCCACCACACCGAAGCCAGGCCGTGGTGAGACTTGGAGCTTTGCACAGGAGACTTGGGAGTGGTGGAGAGGCTGCCCCAGGAGAAGCACTGGCACCAGGTGCACTCAACTCCCCTGCCCCGCAAGAGAAGACACTTGTGAGGAAAATTTGTAAAGACCAAGGGGAAGGTGAAATAACCCTCCCTCTATCTATGCATGCAATTTCCAAATGCATCTAAAGAGTAGTCAAATTAAAAGAAAGTTCTTGGGTCTTATCTTGGAGGGATACTTGTGGCAGGAAAAAAATCAGCCTCTTAGTTATATCAAGTTGATCCATGTGCAGTCTTAGTAGCATGCTCTGCCTCTCCCCTTTCATCCAAACACAGAATAATTTGCGCAAAATTAATTCTAATCTATACTAGACCTTCTCCCTCCTGACGATCAAAATGAGGAAAAATAGTGGAAAGGATTGAAATGGGGGGTGCGGGTGGGTTTGTTACCTGTTACATCAGCCATGGGGATGAAGCAGAGCACCACGAGGATCCCCAGGAGCATGGTGCTAATGGTGGGCCCAACGCCTTGTCCCCACCCCCTCCAGGCACTGCCACGTCTCCCGGGGCCCCGCGCCACCAGCCTTCTTTCCCTGTGGGGCTAGGCTGCACCCTCAGTTGCTCACACGACTTCTCTCCTCCTCCCTCTGCAGCACATGATACACAGCCAAGTGAAACCACTGTAATGGCAACGCTTGAACAGGAAGTTCGTTTGATGATTTTAGCCTCAGGAAGTTGCTGCTGCAAAGCTCAGTAACGCGTAAAAGGTAGTGGAAGCCTGCCTTTCAAAATAGGGACTCTCGCCCCTGTACTGCAAGATGAGTGCTTGTGTTTGGAGCTCTGCAGGGTTGCTCCTATTGGGGAGAAATGGACTTCCCTAGAGGTGCAGCGCTGTTTCTTTACCAAGAGTACCTACAGACATACGCTGTTCCCATCATCATGGTAGAAGCAAACAGCAGTTTCTAAGTTCCTGGTGGCCAAACCTGGCCCCTCAGGAAGGTGGGTGCTCAGGAAGCTCCACCTCTCCTCAGTCCTAGGAGCAGAAACTTTCGTCTCTTGGCCTGCCAGCTTGCTTCTTGCAGCCTTCCCAGCCGTTGGGAACGCTGACATATTTTGGCAGTAGATGATCTAGCTTTGTTAATTTTCTTTTTTCTGCATCTGCTTGCCATCTAAATCCAGACCAAACAGTGCAAGAAATAGTGAACTGGTATAACTTCCCTTTTTGAAAAAAATCCCAAGTTATATAAATGAGCGGAACTGTAATCCAATTGACATCTAAATTAAGGCAGCATGCACCAAGCACACTTCTCAGTCAGTGCTTTCAGTAGAGGTCTTATTTAAAGTTTTTCTCTTTGTCTCACCTGGTAAATGCTCACTCTTCTTGCCCTGCAAGCTCAGTGTCATCTCTCCCCTTGAAAAAGCAGGATTTTGAGAGCCAGTTAATGGCATTTATAACTGTGAGGAACTCTGGTTGTTAACTATTTACTTTTGTCCACTGAAGTAGAAACATTTAACTGTATTGATGCCTGTCATTACCTGTTATTTATTTGAAAGAAAGAGGAAGGTGTTTAGCAGGAAGACTTTCAAGAAAATTGCCCGTTGTAGAAAGGGATGAAGACACATGAACTGTTCTTCCTCTCCCCTTAGTATCTGAGGTCTTTAGGCCATGTTTTATCAGAAATTACATATGCAATCTAAGAGCAGCTCTAGGTGCTATATCCATTTGCAGTCTAGGAACTTTAACAATATTCTTTTGTTTTGTAATTGGTGTAAATTGCCTGCAATACTGAAAGTTTTGGAATTTGCTTGTACTTAAAAAGTAAAAAAGAGAAAAAAAGTCAGATTGTCTCCTTCTTAGCCCACTTTTGTGGTTTCTAGATAAATACCCCAAAACCTTTTTTGAGTCATATGAGTGTACCTGCAGTTATCAATGAAATAGTCTCAGCTTAACTTGAAATGAGAATCCCCCAACAAAGTTACAGAATTCAGTATCTTTTTGCTGAACTGCCCTGTCCTGGAGATGAAAACCACTGTTGTCACATCTTCTGGCTCAGGTAACTGAACCTAAATAACATTTATCAAGCCTGCTGCACGCTTCTGCATCCTGGCTGTCTGATCCTCTCTGTATTTGGGATATGGACTGGAAATGCACGGAGAGTACTTTCTTCCCTCATTGCAGAATTAGTAGAGTATATTGCAGAGAGAGCGCTACTGCCATTCATTTCACTGGCATATGTTGGCAAAGGGGCACCATTCAGATGGAAACATGATTGTGTAAATAGTTGTGTAGGAAGAGACTCTGCTCTAGGAATACCACTAACAAAAACCAAGAGGGAACAGTATGCACTCTCTTCAATGTGTCCATGGACCCATTTATTCCCTTCTATCCCTTATTGCTCCTCATGTGCCTCTCCCATGGTGAGGACAGACCAAGGCACTGATTGCAAACAAGGACTGGACTGGTGGAATAGAGGAGAGGGAAGAGGGGCCACTGATAAATTATTCACTGTGGCCCTAGAGATGAAGCTGTGATGTATCATTTCTCTCTGTGCTGATGAACAGGGGTACGAGTATTGCCCTTTCCAGAGCCTCTGGTCCTTCAGTCATTATTTTAGTTTTGCCTGATGGTTTTCTCTTTGATCCCTGGAGTAAGGAAGGCCATTTTTCCCCCCCCCAAGTAGCTCTTGGCTCATCTGCATTTCTTGGTTTTCTAGGATTTTAAAAGGGCACAAATCATCATTGTGTTCCCAAGGGTATGGCTCCTTTCCTTCTCCAAATTGCAGCTCTTGATCTAATTTAAACAGTTCATTTCCGATCACTTAGATACTTGACTTTGTCACTTTGCATATATGATCTTTTTCTGTTGCCAAAGTTATCTTGGGGGTAGCGGAAGAAGATATTATAGCTTTCAGCAAGCCGTCTTGCACTTAGGACAAACCACATAAATGTTTATCTAGGAAAAAAAAACCACCAACAATGTCCCCCGATATGTTCTCACTCTTAATTTTTCATTATTCTCCCACCTCTCTAAGTATCTCTCATTCTATACCCCGAGCATTACCCAAGGGTGTTCTGCAGTAGCATTAATTCAGGCACCATTCACTCCTATTCTTACCCCATTTTCCATTCAGATTTCAGTCTGTTGAGTCTGTCTGTACGCTGCCAGACAGGCTCTGCTTGCTGTCACAGCAATGGAAATCCAGACTAACATTATAATTTCAGTGGAGCTAGAGCTGTGAGAGCACTGAAAGAGCTAAAAATGCGATTTGGCCATGTTTGGGAAAAAGGTTTCCATCCCATCACAAAATGGCTGAAATTGCAGTCCAAGAGAAGTAAATGAAAGGTTTGTAAATGGGTTTTCAGGGTACACAAAAATCTAGCCTATGGGCTTGGGCTTTTTACTCATCACAGTATGTAAATAAAATAACAGTCCAGGTATTTGATCGTACCTTTTCATGCCTACTGTTAGAAAACCAAGCACTGACAGGAGCTATGACCTGAGTTTTAAAGAAATGCTGATATGATCTAGTATGGTTTCTCAGAGGATTATCTGGGTATCTTTAAAAGAGTCCCAAGAAATCCCAAGCAGGCTGTCAGTTTGCCTTTACGAATGAGGAAGTAATGACCCACATATCCTGAGCCAAGTGTTCAGCTGTTAAAATCAAGGAAGAGATTTGTTATGATTAAACAAGTGGATAGTTTAGAAGCTAATTTTAAAATAAATGAAGTCTCCCTTCAGACACTGGAAGTTGTATAATGCCGTAATTGTTCCCAGCACATACTCTTGTTCTCAGGCAAATAAAAATGTACATGCATACTAGAAGAGTAATTGCAACAATATACTATCATTCACTTATTCCTGAGGACTCCAGTCTAATGGGAGAACAGTGGGTCACTAAAATTCCCATTTAATTACTATAGACAATTAAGTCCCTGGACTATCCTGCAATTCCATAAAAAGATTAAATTTAACCATTGTCTGAGAGAATCTTCCTCTTTCTTCCCCACCATGAAGAATCATAACACAGATCTTGAGCGAGTAGTCTAGTTAGGCTTTATTCTGCTTGTTCTGCATGCTTGTATGTTGTCAACTGCTAGAGTAAATGCTTTCTTTCCCACAACTGCAAATCTTAAAATATCTTTATTCTTCCATTGCTGCTGCAAGTAATGATTTGTTATGAACAGTGCTTTGCATACTTGGTACAGATGGAAGGTTGCTTCTTTCACATCTTTGTCATAAGGAGAATGTGCTTTAACTAGCTACTGTAAAGATGCTGAAGTGGGTTAACAGAAAGAGCTTAACAAATAGCCATGTGATTTCTAACTAGGCAGACAATGAATGATCGATGTTATTCACCCCCTACTGTGTCCAGTAAGCTAACCCTAAGGAGTTGTTTCATTTGTCATCTGAAGCACTTCATAAAGTTACATGTTGTTATCTTCACTTTACAGATGGGGAGTGGAATTCCAGCAAGGTGAAGAGACATACCCGAGGACATACCTCAGGTTAGTGGCAGAGCTAGGAATCTCTACGAGTAGCCCTGTGCTCTCTAGCTTCCAAGGTCTGATCAGCTTTCTGACAGCCTCTGTTCTATGTTGTCATTTCCCTTGCAAACTCATGACTTTTCACTGTGTTGTGAGTCTTTTCACACCCTTCTTTCTGTGAATGCAGATGCCTTCATACCACAAGCACAACCATCACACTTAGAAGGGAAAATCACTATATTCCTTCAGAGGGAATTTTAAGTTGCTTTTCTGTACCTTAAAATGTGACAACTGATGTCTGATATGTAGGAACCTTCCAGGGCCAGAGCTTAATATGACATGTCACAGTGGAAAGGGAGCTTTCTTTTTTTGGAAAAATGTGAAATTTTTGTTTCCAGCCCTCAAGATAGCAGCCCATAAATGTGTCACTAATATAGGACTAAGTGCTACCATCAAACACGTATAAATTTGAGAGAGAGCTTGAGGGAAGCCTTCCCTATTTGGGGAAAGAAACACTTCCCTGACAGGCTGATTATTTTTAATGCCAATAGCTGGAAGGTGTTCATTAGTGTTTGTTGGGAAAGGGACAGGAGTTCACAAATGTACATTCCTGGCTCTTTTCAAGTTAAAAATCTCACCCAGGTTTTAAAGTTGTAACTGTTTATTCTGGCTGTACCTATTCCTGCTTTGGACTGTTAGAACAAGTCTCAAAGGAGGTAGATTAATGGGTAGAAAGGGAATGGCTCAAAGCTGCATGATTAACTCCATCTGTCACCTGCCTGTAATATGACATATGGCTGCTGCTTCATTAGAGGTCACATGTTTAGGTAGGAACACCTGAAATAAAGCCTACAGGTGAGTACGTATATGCTAAATGTTCTGCAATAAAAGAGTTTTCAGATTAAGGTTAGAGGGAGAATAATTTCTGTTAACTGCACTGCCTGCTCCTTGTTTCTCTTGGGTCGAAAAGGTGAATGAGACCCCTGCATATTACCATTGAAGGTGACAAGATTGTTCCAGTTTACTTGAGCTGAGGACCTGATGCTTGGGACTGGCAGAGCAAAGAGACCCTGGAAAAA